GATGCTGGTTGGGGAATTCTGGGAGTTGAAGTCCACTCATCTTAAAGTGGCCAAGTTTGGACAACACTGCCCTAATCAAAAGGCAAGGCTCTAGCAATAGAAAACTGGTTGTGTTTGAAGGAACTTTTCTTCCTTTGCCCTTAGTCTGCCATGAACCCCCATCAACTTCCTGTGAACCTTCCCTGTAGTTGCCTCTATTGGCCCTACAATGACATTCTATCCACCCATTTAGTAATAACTGGATATTCATTAAAGGCACTTAAAAGCATTTCTTGAAAAAAATAATGTTGCAGCATTATGGGAAAAAGGCAACTAAAGAGAATTGAAAAAAATAAAAACTATAGTTTGCAACTTGCTTAAAGCTAGCATTCCTCAGTCCTGTATCAAGAAACCCCACTCTTATTCCTTGACACCTGTTCGCAAAACTCAGCTAAGCATTTCTAACTAAATGCTATGCAATAATACTGCACATTAATAATATAACAAAAACAATATCCATACCTTAACGGTACATCTGTATTTCCCTGCACTCTGCCCAGCACAAGAATTTCATAAGGCTTTTTGTGAAGAGAATCTAATGGGATCACAAATTCTCCAGACTTTGTAATCTGAGACAGAGAAACTTGAAGAAATGTAGCAAGTATAAACACAGCATAACAAGCTATTTTTGTGTGATTTACACAACTTTGTTATTAATACAGAAAACAGTTGCTGTTTTCTGTATTAGTAGAGTACTGCACCCATGACTACAAATAAAAGTACATATCAATATATAAATTTCTCCAGATCAGGGTTCAAGAGCTGTCCAAATCTGGTCAAATAAAATCAATTCTAATGTTTTATTATATCACTCACTGAGGCTAAATGCTAAAAATTTCCCAATTTAAGCTTCCGTTAAAAATTAAGTTTAAACTTCAGCTAATTGTGTCAGCTTTAGTAAGTACAAACTAACTGTTAAAGGTGAGGAATATTGAGATTCACAGATATTCAGAGAAGCTATTGAATAAGGGATTGCTCCAAATGTAAAAGCAAATTTGAAGTTAGTGCTTTGACAAAAAAACAAGATTAACTCAGTTTTAACTATGGATACAATTTCAGTATCAAATCTAAGTAGAACTAATAGAACTAGCATGAACCTCATTAATAATTACTATTTATTGCTATGAATATCACATTTCACAATTACTGGGAAGAGGGGTTGGAAAACTATTCTAGAGTTTTCATTTGTTTGCTGTTATCTGTTACGTTAATTATTCTGCATCAACTAAAACCAAGACTGCTTTATTTTATACATAGGAAGATACATATTAGTAGTCTGCAGCTTTACAGACCCTTATCCTAGAAGTGACCTCTATTGAATTAAATTAAATTAAATGTACAGCTGGACAAACATGTACAGAAAGAGCAGCACCATCTACTCAATCTGGGTCCCAAATGAGGCACCTAAGGGTGCCACTCTACCAACAGAAACCTCATCTGGGGATGCCAGCCTCCCTGTCCCACCTTTTAGTTTTTTAAAAAAAGGTTCTAGCTAGTGTGTGCTAGAAAACAAAGCATTAGCTGCATAATGCATAATCCACATTTCCAAAAATGTCTCTGGGTTTTCTATAAACTCCAAAGGCAACTTTCGAAAAGAACATCTTAAGGGCCAGCTTTCCAGTGCTTGTTCATGTGTTCATCTGTCCAGAAAAGGACAAAGATAAACTACGGTGGCAAAAGCCACCCTGAAGAGCTAGTAGAGCTGGGCGGCAGGCAATTGCTTCACAGGAATTTTGTGACTGACTACACCCATCATGGTAGCCATTTTGCAACAGTGCCTCTCCATATAACTGTGTCCTTAGGAGGAGGGCCGGAATCTGGACTGCTGTTTTCTTTCATGGCCTGGTGTTAAGAGAGCAGGAAAATGGGAGAGATTGTGGAATGGAATATGGCATGGAAATGAACACTGATAAAATCATTGACAGGGGAGATTTATGCTGAAAGGCTGCAATCTGGTCACCAGGGGAGAATGGCATTCCTCCCTTTCCATTTATAACTTAACTAAGGAAATCAACAACATAGTGACAATAGCTTCTCCAATCTAAAAGTCCTACTCCTTAATGTTAGATCAGGCTAAGATTGGAAGGCAGGTAGTAGAAAGGACATGGGCTACAGAAATTTCATCTCACTAACCCATGCTCCATCCTGCAGTCTGCCAATTCTGAGCATAACCGTCTGCATTTGGGTGGCTGGAACAGTGGAAGGAATAGACCTGTGTGAAACAGCTTGGATTTGGTTTGCACCTTGGAAACAATGTCATTCACTTCACCAAAGCAAAAAGTGAGCCAATTAGTCTCATTAGTGGCCTCAAAATGCATATGGCCTACATAAATACAGCAGGTCAAGTCTCCCCTCAGCTCCTGCCCCAGTCTTGGCCAATGTGCTTCCAGGCTAGACATTTTTATGACTGCTCATGACAGCATTTTTCACATAGGCTGAAGAGTTCTAGGCAACATGCAGCTGGATGCCAGTTGAGGGACTGCCCAGAACTACAAAGCTGGAAGTGGTAACCTGTCTGGAGGAGGCAAATAGCACATCTTCTGTAGTGTTCTTCAAAGGAGAAGGTGACTGACAAACAGCAAAGTGATCATCAAACCCAGGTGCCTTGCATACTGTAGTGTGGCCTAAAGCATTCACAAAGCCACTCATCCTGGAAGACCTTTTGTCATAACCAGAACCTGGTGCTGGGGACAACCGTCTGCCAGCTAGAGAGATTCAATCCTATCCATATGCTGTTTGGTATCTACACAAAACTGCTGGGGAAGGTCATCCAGAATTTTCAAATGAGTGTCATCAGCTCCTTACCATACTATACCAAAGAAACAACTGATATACTTGAACATTGTCCAAATTTAATCATGGGCTGAATGAGAAGTAGCAAGCTGAAGTTACTCCAGACAAGACAGCAGTGCAGTTAGTAAGCAGGAAAATGGATTTGGAAATTGAAATTCAGCTTGTTTTGGGCAGATGTGCACTCTCTCTGAAAGTTTAAGAACTCCTTGATCCTCAGCTATCATTGAATTTGCAAGCTGCACCTTTGTATATTTATGGTCTAGCCCACTATCTGCATGACTTCCTGTACCTGACAGGTTTGGCAATGGTTACCCACTGTGCTCTGCATGAGGCTACCCTTGAAAAGTGTCCAGAAGTTGTGGCTGGCATAAAATGTAGCAGCTAAGCTGCTAACCAGTGCAAAGTACAGGGAACATATGATTCTATACAGAAAAGTCTGCATTGCTTGCTAATGGCTTACCAGTCAGAATTTAAGTATCGATGTTGGCCTATAAAACCGTAAAGAGACTGACTATCTATAGAATATCCTCTCCCATTTAGACCTTGTCCAGCTTTTAACACTGGTAGGAGAGACCCTTTTTAAGATGCCACTGCTATCAGAAACTCATCCTTCTGATCTATGAGAAAGGACATCTCTGCTCTCCAGCTATGGGATATACTCCCTCAGGAGGTGCCTTTATTTTGTATGTTTATTAATTTTAATGTTTACTTTTTATATAGTTGTTTTTGAGTGATTACCACAGCAGAAAGATGGGGTATAAATCAAATAAATAAATAAACCTATCCTCCCACCCAAATATTCCTAGTAGAAAAACAAAAAACAGTATAAGCTTTGCTCTGGTATTGGTCACGCATTTCTGGGCTGAGAATGTTCTGAGAGGCATTTGTTCTTTTAATTCTTAATCTTAATTGTAATAATAAGAGAAATACGGTATGCAAGGCTAATGTTCCGAACTGAGCTGTATGAGTTCTTTCATATCTCAACTCATCACCTACAAATTAAGAAAAACACACATACATACATAATGAAAAATGCATTTAAAATGTACTCTAAAATTAGTATTGGGATTACTATAAACAAATTTTGAATAAAGAAAAAAAATCCAGCAAACTTACTTTTACCCAAAACCACTCAACTACATCATGTATGGACCAGTGAGGATAAAGTTCATTCTTTACAAATCGTAAATGCTTCTGTCTATTGGTCACCCATGTGACCACAAGACAATCTGGAGCTGCCAGTGCTGGCACAGGAATTTCTTTGATTTGCCAGTGAGACAAGAAACCATACCTATATGTGGATATAGTGAGAAAGTTTAGAGCTCATCCAAAGCAAGAAAGGAAAACAGATGTCTGAAATTGTCTGACAATTTTTTACAAACTTTGTCTAATTTAACAACATCTCACTAAATTAAATCTGAGTCAAGAGTGACATCCAGTGGTGGAAGGCTTTCTCTTTACATTCAGATCTACTGAACACAGCAATCAAATTACAATACTTTTTCATTTCCAAAGACAGATATGCATTAAAAAAAACTTCTGAAGCAAAATGAGCTTTTAATGAAATATTTCTCTGCAGTTATGAATATTAAATGAATCATTGGAGGTGCAATTTGATTGCAATTTATTCTATTTATACAGTATTTTGGAAACAACATCTTGTTCAAGTATGAAATCTACTCCTAAAGATTGGCTATTGGCCACCAGGTTACAGAATTTTAACGTGGGATTATGAAAATTCTGATAGGATAAAACTGTCAATGGCTGACAATAATGATTATCTACTTCCTGTGATATGAGGCTGTAGGCTTCTGAATGACATTTACTGTGGATAAGTAACAAGAGACTTATATTCATGTTCTGCTTGCAGGCTTCCCAAAAGCATGCAGTTAATCTATCATGGATATAAAATGCTGAGCTATTCAGATGCTTAGTCTGGGCCAACAGTCCTCTTCTACTATTTTAAAAATTGCAAAACTATACATTTCTTTTTAAAAGTGCAACAGTTATGAAGTAAACTTTGGAGAGAGATTTCTGTGTACATTCAGCTTTAAAAACAAACCAAGCTCTCAGCTTTCTGGGAAAGACTCATTCAATCTGCTTATTTCTCATTTCATGTAAAGCCACTTTTCCTCCTAACTGACATATCAACCCTTTAAGGCAGTGTTTCTCAACCTTGGGAACTTTAAGACATGTGGACTTCAACTCCCAGAGTTCCCAAGGTTGAGAAACACTACTTTAAGGACTGTTTCTATGATATTTCTAAAACATCCACATACAGGTAGTCCTCACTTAGTGACCACAATCAGGATGAGCAACTCAGTCGCTAAGTGCTACAGTCACTAGGTCGAACATCACACAATTGCGACGGGCTTACGACCTCACTTCCCCTTTGGTTGTCAAGCAAAACATCACGTGACCGCAACTTATGATTTTACTTCTGTCTTCTCTATTAACCCTGCTTGTCGCAAGCCAGTTGCAAAGCACCCAAATGGCAGTCACGTGACTGCGGGGATGCTGTGATGGTCGTAAATGCGAGGACTGATCACAAAGCTATTTTTTTTACACTATCATAACTTTGAACTGTCACTAAACGAGGCAGTCAATAAGCAACGATTACCTTTATTCCTTTAAATGGATGTTTGAAAGATATTGTATTCCCTGAATATATCACTAATTTTAAGAAATTATCTTGCCCATTTTCCAATTCACTTTTTATTTTGCTCACCATCTTTTCTAATATGCAAAATAATTGGAAACACACCTGAGTAGTTCTGAATTACAAAAAAAGCACTCTAGGTCCAATAAAAGGATATTAAAAGTGCAGAGTAAGTTACTTATTTTTAATTTTTTATTTACGATATTTATAACCAGCATGTTTTCAGCCAAACCAACCCAGAATTACATTAGAATACTCTTAAATTAATATTTTTATTTATGAAATATTCTCAACAAAAATAATAATAATCCCAAATTATGGTAATCTACTAGTTAATTAGTTTTAAGCATTTTAATAGAATAATTCCATTGAATAAATGCTAACCATTATAACCTCTTGCATTTGAGAATTCCAATCATAAAAAACTTGTTATGGTGCCCTTAACTGATTTTTTATATCAAGCATACATAACAAATTTTGTGATACATTCAGATACCCTGCTGCAAATTACTCTCTTTTATTATACTAGCAAACCGTAACATGCCAGATGACATGGTACTAAAAGTTATTTACTCAATTTATATAAAAATACACATGGGAAATCCTACCTACTGCTTCTTTTCACAGACTTGTTCTCCCATGGTGGGTCTATAACAATTATGTCATACTTTTTTTTATCTAGAAAAAAGAAATATTTTTCATTAATTGCCATAACAATTCTTTGAAATTATAAAAGTGCTTCCCATATTTTAAGCACCTAATACATCTTTCAAAAGAAGTGAAAGTGTGATCTTTCCCTGCATTTTAAAACAATAAAAATACAGAATAAAATCTGCTGTTTTAAGTTTATATCAACCACACTATTTTATGTGTAAAGCTGTTCTTAGCTGATGACTCAATTTCATATCACAGGCAATTATAACAGCTTCACATGTACCATAAAATATTTCTTATCAATCAAGGCAGACTTTGTTCTAGAACCTATATATTAGCCAATTATTTTTTCAAGCATAAATTATACCTAAGGGAATGGGCCATGAACTACGTTGGGTATTCGCTATACGCAGAGATAAATATAATATTTTGCTTATATCGAAGCAAAATACTACTGCTCAAATCAAATTGTTCAAGCGGACAGTCAGGTATCGTTCAATTCCTTCTTTACTAAAATATACACAGAACTGCTATGGCAAAATATTTGGGGATTCCTGACAAGTAGATAATTTTACTAAGATATGTACTTACAGTTCAAAAGTGGCTGCATACATGAAATATCTGATAAAAGAAATGCACTTTTGGGGGGAAATAAGTACTTCTGTCCCATTAGTGTTAACATCTTTGCGTTGTTTGTATTATTTTCAGTGACACAGGTTAACTGAACTTGTTCTGGGTCAGAAGTTTCCTTGTCTATTACACATTTTTGCTCTCTTTCATTCACAGGAACGAAACACTTGGCCATCTCACATAGCTCAGCCAAACTGAAATTATTTTGTCCTCTGTCAGAGGTCTTGGTGTAAAACTGTTCTAGAGAACTAGGCTGAAGGAAACCACTTCTGCGTGCCTCCTGGATTAAACTTCTGGTCCCATCCAAAATTATGCCACTGATCTGTACAGCAAAAAAAATAAAAGGAAATTGCTTGAAACATATACATTTGTCAATCGCGATCTATTAATAAGTTCATGTGAATTAATGATTGCACAATCTAAGCATTAAGTAATTAGAAAATGCTTTCATAATTGTTCACCTTATAAATTATTTTTAGGTGTTTGAAAGGAGAATGTTATGAATCCTTCAGATGGACATTTTCACAAACAGAGGCATTACAATAGAGATAGGACAATTATAAATTTCATTGTATTAGCAATCTTCCACTCACCTTGAGTCGCTTACAGATTCCAAACCACTTAATTTACAATTTGAAAATGAAACAAAACAATCTCAAAATATTCATGGTGTTTAGGAATGCACAAGATCAAGAAACAAAGCCAATTAACAACCAGCACCGTCAAAATGCTTAATTTATTAGGCTTAATTTAAAAAGGTCTATGTACACGTAACAAGAGTGTTTTTCTTTGTACAGGTAGTCCTCGACTTGGGACTGGAAGTTCCATTGCTAAGCAATGTGGTTGTAAAGCATGACGTTGTGTGACTGCATTGCTTAGTGACAGCAATCCAGCACTCCCCATTGTCATCCTTAACCAAATTCCACCAGTCATTAGCCAAGGATCCACTCCAAGCCACTCCAGACTTAATACCTTCCATCCCCAAGCCTCAGTAAGGGACTGCCTCCTCTTCAATTCCTACCTGCCTACCTCCCCCCCATCTCTGCCCTTTTGCCCACCCTACACCCTGCCTTGCAGGGTGGCAAGCAGCCCCAGAACCGCATGGCTCTGGGGCCACTTCCATGCTGTGGCTCAGGGGCTTTTTGGTGCACTGCAGCTCTGGGGCTGGAAGAAGCCTGAGCCACACTGCAGCATGAAGCCTCAGCCACCCCACCTCACCCCACCCTAGCCCAGGAGTATGGTGCAAAGTTGCAGTTGCCCCAGCAGCGCAAAGTCGCAGCCACCCCTGGAAGCCTCAGCTGCCCCAGCCCAGTCCCAGCTGCAGTCACACTTGCCCTACTGCACTCCAAGGCCCCTGACACCCTGCAGCTGACCTTCACCGTCTTCTTGCTCCTGCTGATGAGGCGTGCCTGCCTCGGCCCTTCACGAGGCAGCTGGTAGCCACACGAGGCCATCTTCCCCAGGTCTCGCGAGGAAATCACTGTGCACGACCTGGGGAAGAAAGCCTCGTGTGAAGAAAGGAGGACCCAGCTAGAAGAGGTCCTTTTCGAGGCAGGTGCGTGAAAGAAGGCCCCAGCTGCACCAGTGTGAAAGGAGGACTTGGCTAGAAGTGTCCTTCTTTTGCAACGGTGCAGCTCGGGCCTTCTTTCACATGCTTGCCTTGAAAAGGACCACTAACTGGGTCCTTCTTTCATACCAGCAGAGCTGGAGTCCTCTTTTGTGTGCCTGCTTTCCAAAACTTCGCAAGAAGGCTGCATGCAATTTAGACAAGGCCACGTGAGATTTGGACAAGGGGTGGGTGTGGCCTTGGGAACAAGGCCTGGCATGGTCAACAGCTGCTTCGCAAAGGGTCAGGCTGGATGCGCCTTGTCAGCAGCAGCAGGAAGATGGCGAAGATCAGCTGGGGGAAGCAAGGCCGGCAGAGCCAACGACCACAGGGCGGCCAAAGAGCATGGGTGGGGGGCAGATAGGCAGATGGAGGGAGGTGAAGCACCTCTGAGGTTATAAGTGCTGGTGGGCTGCCAAATACCCAAATTTTAATCACATAACCATGGGAGTGCTGCAACAGCTGAAACTTGGGGGACTGGTTGTCCCTTCATTCAGCACCGCTGTAACTTCAGTCGCTGAACAAATGGTGATAAGTTGAGGACTGCCTGTAGAACAAGCCAAACTGCATTCATGCATCACACTTAGCCATGGCTTAGCCACACATCTAAGCAAGAGATTCACCCATCAAGCTATGTAATAAACTCATGGTTTATAAATAAGAATAGTGAAAAACAAAATCATATGAAGTATATTATGGCTTTGGACAGTATGTAAACCTGTTCCTAGTTAATTCAGAATACTAAGCCATAAAAAGTGACTTTATCATAATGCTAAGCAAAAACCAAACAAATCACATTATGGCTCAGCACATATGTTATTCAGAATATATTCTTTCAGCTGTGGTTGAGAAATCATGACTTCACGTACCCTCACAGAAGGAAATAATTCCCTACTCTCTAAAGCTGCATTTGCCACTGATGTGAAACACAATTAAAGCTAACTGTACTTTTAACTACATGTCTAACTGTGGTTAAAAGTACAGCATACTCTGGCCCATGCAGAATCTCTTAGGTAATTTCTCAACTAGTAACTTATAGTATATTCTAGAGTCATCTAACTACTGTTATACCCAAATAGTAGTAATTAGGATAGGCTTTATATCACTTCAGCGATAACTGGATGATGCTATTAAGACATTAAAAGTCAATAATGGGGAAATGGCCTTAGTCACAGTAAATAGAATGTGTCTGCACTACCACTTACAAAAGAAGAATTTAAGGAATTTTTATTTAAGGAAGTTTCACATTAGCTCTTTTTTCACTGGGATTGCTATTGTTTTTTAATCATTCAGTCACTTCTGAGGCTTTGCATCCAATGGATACCATTTCATCATGTCTGTCAGTATCTGCTTCTTTGAGTGCTTATACTTGTGTCACCAGTGAGAGTACCTAGCCACACTGATTTTATACTGGCCTCTTTTTCAATTGCCTTCCATTTTTCCGAGCACCTGGGTCTTCTCCAATAACACCAAAACCTTCATATTTTGTGCCCCAAATATTTAAGCTTTAGCTTCATTAGTAATGCTCCCAGTGAAGTCTGCTTTTACCTCATCTAATATTAAATTATTTGTTCTCCCTATAGCCCAGAGTATTCTCAATGTTTTTCTAGCAGCACAACTCCAAAGGCATTAATTTTTCCTTCTTCAACTTTTCTGATGATCCAACTTTCACAGACATATGTTACAACTGGGGAAACCATGGCCCTGATAATACATACTTTTGTTAGTAGTATGATGTCTTGCCACTTTAATATTTTATCGAGATCTGTCACTGCAATCTTTTAATTTGTTTACATTTTACAAAGCATTTTGAATATATTCTGAACCATTTCAGAATAGTTGACTTGCAGTATCTCTGTCATACTTTGTAAAATATCATTTATAGTGACTTTTCCATACTAAAATATGGCTGAAACACCACTCTGTTCACTGTAGGCAAAGCATTAGTAAGGCTTTAAATGAAACATACCCTTTTTGCATATTACTTCCTAATTATCATAGCTGAGGGATTAACTAACCATTTCTCCTTGAAAAACGATTTCATTACCCTGTATTGATTTCTCTCCCAGGAGATGAGAATTGCCTAATATTTACCAATGTACAGTCAGGTCCAGAAATATTGGGACATCGACACAATTCTAACATCTTTGGCTCTATACACCACCACAATGGATCTTCTTTTTGAGAATGTTCCAAACAGTTGTTTTGGCCACGCCTAATGTTCTTGCTATCTCTCTGATGGGCATTGCAGTCAATCACAGCCTGAAGCCTCATTGCAGTCAATCACAGCCTGAAGCCTCATTGCAGTCAATCACAGCCTGAAGCCTCATTGCAGTCAATCACAGCCTGAAGCCTCATTGCAGTCAATCACAGCCTGAAGCCTCATTGCAGTCAATCACAGCCTGAAGCCTCATTGCAGTCAATCACAGCCTGAAGCCTCATTGCAGTCAATCACAGCCTGAAGCCTCATTGCAGTCAATCACAGCCTGAAGCCTCATTGCAGTCAATCACAGCCTGAAGCCTCATTGCAGTCAATCACAGCCTGAAGCCTCATTGCAGTCAATCACAGCCTGAAGCCTCATTGCAGTCAATCACAGCCTGAAGCCTCATTGCAGTCAATCACAGCCTGAAGCCTCATTGCAGTCAATCACAGCCTGAAGCCTCATTGCAGTCAATCACAGCCTGAAGCCTCATTGCAGTCAATCACAGCCTGAAGCCTAATCCATTGTGGTGGTGTATAGAGCCAAAGATGTTAGAATTGTGTCGATGTCCCAATATTTCTGGACCTGACTGTATACTCATTATTTTTAGAAGAGTGAAAGAGTGTACTTTATAGCAGAAACTGCGACTAAAACACCTTTTATTAGAATTTTCCAAGAAAAACATTTCAGTATCTATGATTTTAGCATGGTTTGCACTAAGCAAGACTGGGTTCATACAATGTATTAAGTCACAACTAACAAATCACATGCTAACTTAACACAAAGTGGGAATTCAGCTTTTAGTTCAAGATACAAAGTAACTCTCATGGAACATTTCATAAGGTAAGTATATATGTCACAAAAACAAATGGTCATCCTCCCATTATAACTCTTCAAACTTACCTTTAAATGATACTCTAAGATATCACTTTCACCGTGATTAAGTTCATTGCTTCTTTTTCGTTTCTAAAGTTGAAAATGGGCACACATGTGAGAGATACTACCACTCAAAAGCATTAAGATTCACTACATTCTGTATAAGGGGAAAAGGTGGATTTTGTGATGAACTTGCATTCCTTAAACTTGACAAGACTATTAAAAGACAACTAAATGAATATGTTAGTAACAGCAAAGATATCTCCCAGGTGTACAACCTGCAACCTAATGCGGTTGGACATGTGAGGGTGGCAGTGCTTCTCAGCATCTCACAATCCACTGACCATAAGCTTCCTTTGTGGTCTTTCTTTATTTCCCATTCCTCCTGTTCTTTGGGAAATGTTAATTTCAGGGAATTTTCTTCCTGCTTTTGGTTTGCAGGTACATGCTCTAATCAGGTCCTTCTTTCACGCCCTAGCTTCTTTTGCAAAAGAACAGAGGGCTGGGTGGCACAAGAGAAGCTGTGGCTCTACTGGTGCAAAAGAAGACAGTACGAAAGAAGACCCCAGCTGGTACAGTAGTGGTGCGCGGTTGGGGCAGCCAGCAGCAGTGGGTAGGCGGGCAGCCAAAAGGGCAGAGATGGGGGGGAGATGGGCAGGAGTTGAAAAGGAGGCAGACCCTTATCTTACCAAAGCTCGGGGCTGGGAGGGACCAAGCCAGGAATGGCTTGGATCAGGGTGGGTTCTTGCCTAATGACCGGTGAGATTCGGTTAACAATGGCAACGGGACTGCTGGGATTGCCAGCGCGAAGCAATGCGGCCACGTGATGTTGTGCTTTACAACCGCATTGCTTAGCGACAGAAGTGTCAGTCCCAATTATGGTTAACCGAGGACTACCTGAAATGCTAATTACCTAAGATAGCCTTCTCCAATATGCAGTACTCTCCAGATGAGCTCACACACAACTCCCATAATCCACAGTCAGCACTGGCTGGAGATAATGGAAATTATAACAGTAGGGGAAGTGGTATTATCTGACTAGTGTTTCTTACCCTGATCCCTTCCAGAAATGCTAGTGCTACATTTTCCTGGAAACTGTAGTAGTAATATATCCAGAGAACACCAGGTGGTGGGAGAGTGATCCAGAATAAATGAGCAATAGAAACAATCTTCAAGTTTAGGTTTTTGAAGGAAAAAAAACTACAGTTTTTGCAGCACCCTTTTCATTCTAAACTATTGTCTATAGTGGAAATACAGGATTTTCAGAGGACTGATGGGAAAGAGTCCCTCACTTTTATTATTAGACATGTCCCCATATATGTCTCAACCAAGAAAGAAAGTCAGGCCGTGTGGCTTTTTGAAAGAGAAGCTGCCACTTAAGGAAACCAGCATTAAAAGTTAAATTCCTTCTAACAGTGCAACTCACGGATGGCAAACACATATGACAACATGAGTTTAAGACACATATTAATACTATGTTACTCAGTGAACTGCTAGTATGGTCCTTCTAGGACCATTGTTATCTATACATTCACTAAAATAATAAAACTTTATTAGCACATGCTAAAATTAGATTTACTTGATTTCATTTACCACAGGTTTATTAAATGTTGAAAGCATGTAAGATTTATACAGTGCATATTACCAACAGTCTACAGAGTACACTGCTGGGCTGCAGAAGTAGCAACCTATAACTATTTTATAATAGATCAGTGATTTCATTTCATGCCAATTTTGCAGCACGCAAATGTATATAAATATATAAGAAACTTATCTTTACCTTTTTGGCTTTAATTGTAATAACAGGCTTGTCCTTGGCACTTTTCTGCTGTCCTGATTCACCAGTTTCTAGATTAGTCCCATCATGCCTTTCCATTTGGAAGCTTTCAGTAATATGGGGCTTAAGTACATTAAAATATTCTTCCCGAAATATGTATGTCCTCTTGACCATCTGACCATTTTTTTCTCCTTCGTGTCTAAAGTCAGGAACAAAACTTTTTGTACATGATTTTATGGGAAGCAGAATTGTACCTGAGGAAGCAGGAAGAACAGTATTGTCAAAAGAATCGTGGGCTGAGTGCTCAAGGGAGTGGCAAAAATAGTATCCAGTTTTATTTATGAAGGAGAGGTGATCTAGCATCCAGCCAGCTGGCAGATAACATACAATTGACATTGTCTGCTTTCCAAGGCATAATTCTTCCAAATGATTTATTAAAAACTGTATTTCCTGGGGGGGGAAAAACAGAGAAGTAAATCTATACAGAACTGTTGCATTTACCCAAATGTCAAATATTTTAATTCAATCCTATGAACATTTACTAGCACTTCCTGTGAGCACAACACCTGTCTTCTGTTCAAGAGCCTGACCGTTTTCAGGCAGCTGTGTAAGCCTGAAAAAAAGATGCTGTTGCTTTAAGAAATTCATGTGAGTTAAGGCTATTCTTAAAGCCAATGAAAAGGTATTTTCCTGCATTCTGATGAGGCATGTATTCAATATATACAGATGATAAAGCTTATATGGTATTTTGCATGAAAAAAAGAAAAAAATAGCAATAACAATATATGGAGAATAGATGCTCCAGATGCTTTGACAGTGAAAAATTGTTGACATATGAGATCCTGTACTGTGACATACATTATTCACTGTCCCTGTAGCTACCAACTCTTTTAATCAAGGCTTTTAAATGCACACATCCAAGATGCTAGTTTAAAATCCATATAAGCACATATAACAATAGAATTTGGTTTGTGTGTTGGGATAATATTCAAATTAAAAACCTAGAAATAATTGCCCACAAGTAGACAATAGTCCTAATCCCATCAAACCATGGAGCGAGCAAACAAAAGTTAGTTTTGCTTATAGAATCTGGACGATTATTATAACATTTAGATTAATATATTTGAGAGAGTTCAGTGCTTTAGGTACACAATCTTGGTACAATTCTGGAAAAGCCCTTGCACTACAGCGGTTTCCTACAACTATCTAGCGAAGTCCCAGGAAGAGATGAAATCTGAACTGGATTCTTTCCTGCAGTCTTACCCTAAGTTATAGTTATAAGTAAATCGTGCTGAATTCAATGGAATTTATTTCTGAGTAAACGGTGCATGTTCGATCGCGGTGAGTGGATCGCGTAGCCTTTGAGCCGAGTCTTCTGCCCCATCGCGGACTCGAATAGCCGCGCTCAGAGAGGCCGTGAAGGTCAGACACCAGCCCGTAGCATGCCAGCTGGACCTATTCCCCTTACTCCGACAGGGAAGAAGAAAAAGAAGAAGAAACTTCGCTCACAAGGGAGAAGCCTCCTTGCCCTCTGTAACGCACAGCCAGCGAGCAACTCCGGAATTCACAACTCGTGGAACGCCAGAGATAATCATAGAGATGAAACGTAGCCGTTCCCTCGAGCCATTGTAGTCTGAAAGCAATTTCCTGTTTCAGAAGGAAATGACGTCGTAATTTGCCCGTCGGGTTCTTCCACTCCTTTCAGTTAGCGGGATAACGTCATGACGTTGTTACTGGCGGGTGAATTTGAAAACAAGTGAGAAGCGGGGCCGCTACAGAGCGAGAAAAGGCGGTGAGTGGCGACGCAGCGGAGAAAGGTTCCAAGGGAGTAGCGCCATTACAGGTGAATATGTTGCTATTATGTGACGGAGGTCGGGCGCTGCACTTTTTTTCGGCTTGGGAGGAGATGACGACAGCTGAATATATAAAAGCTCTTCTTGCGGAACCAAGGCGCGGTTTGTGAACTAGTTTGAATTTTACCAGCTGGTAGCGCTCCTCTGCTTTTTCTCGGAGGACAAATTAAGTGTGCCGTCACACTTTTCCTTTCCCTTCACAAGAGGGGAATCCCCATCTCTTTTCTTTCCTGCCCCTAAGGAAAAAGCTAATTTTAAACTACAGATTCTGATTCGTTTTTACTGGGAAGTAAGTCTGGCTGTGTTTCCTCAGCGCGCCACCAGATAAATGTGTTTAGGGTTGCAGCCCTCCTCTTTCCCTCTGAGGAGCGAAGCCAGAAGCCCCCTTTGTTCCATCCGGGAAAAGAAAGAGAGAGAGAGAGGAAAAAAAGTGTTCAGCAAAGTCACCCCATTCTTTTATTTCCCGTAAACAAAAGGCTTGATGCCTTTTCAAATTTGTTTCTCTTCCCAATTTTCAGAAATCTCCATTTTGGTGGCAGAGGCGGGGCAGGAGTGGCAGAGAGCTTGCTTTGTAGCCAAGGGCTTTTCTCCACTGATCTCTTTCCAGTAGTTTATCAGAAGAGGCTTTGCCACCCATGCACTCCAATCCTTTCTGCTGCCCTAGGCAGAGCCGCATCTGCAATCCTCTCTCCTACGAGTTTACTTAAAGATGATGGTATTCTTCTATATTACAGTTTTCCTTACAACAATGAGGCGTAGTTCAAGTACCAGTCGCATCAGTTGCCGGCAATCAATCCAGCCACTCAGGGTGCAGGATTCTAACAAGACGGGACTTCATACACCCCAACCGTAAGACACTCAGATTGCTTTCGCTGAGATGGCATTCATTTACCTGACTTTTTAAATTTCTGAAGCGTGCCTGTTGAAAATACTAGTGCCACTTTAGTTTGCCTGTTACTCTTAAAGGCACATACATGTATTTTATGTGCAACAATGATTAGACAAATTCACTATTTTGTTTAGGCGAGCATTAAAGTATGATCTATTCTTTAATTTGTGTGTGCATGTACACATGCACTAAACTAGTAAAAAAGTATATACATATTAAAGAGTAGGCCACAGTAAAATGGGATTACATGGGAAAAATTAAACAGCAGGTGACCTTATTGGATGGTACATAAAGATGATTTAAGGTTTGTGTGTGTGTTTTTAATGATTTGTACAATTCACCAATATTTTCTTTTCAAGGCAAGAAAGAAGGACAACATTTGGAAAGCAGAGTGTGGGAAAGCATGCACCAGGGACATCAGAAAGGAAAACCAGTTTTTTTGGCAAAAGGTAATCAGCACTGTTAGTAAGGGTTTCAGTTGGTAGGATTAACTTGAACACTACAATGTTTCAGTATCGCTTCCAGTGTGGATGAATGCTTTATTCCATTAGAATAAAGGACTAGAAAGAGCATCAAGGACTTGAATAGTTCTTAAATGCAGGAAAGCCTTACACCAGGAGTGAAAGAATTGTATCTAGGGATTGTGTAGAACCTGCCAGTATCCCTTTTGTAACCCCCAGAGCTTTAGAGAATTGGTGGGACTCTCCTCCAAAAATGTGCCTTGGCCGTTTTTGGAAAGGACCCTTAACATATCATACAAAGTCTGCTATAGCCCTCAAGTTGGTGAAAGTTGTATTACCCTGTCTTCTCAATATTCTGTTACTGAGTTGGAAGACTTTGATATGACAGAATTAATAGCCATTCTGTTCACTCTTGAAGTCTCATTCATTATTATAAATTGCATTTTCTGTGTCTAAATAATTTTGCATAGATAAAATTAATAATGCCATAGTTAACTTGGGATGCACATTTTATGGTTTCAATTCTAGGACTAGTGGCCCTGGGAGCTTACGGAACAGCCAATATGGTGCTTTCGGAAGTATGGAAAAAATCAAGGACCCTAGACCACTTCATGACAAAACATTCATTCAGCAATGTATCCGTCAACTTTGTGATGTATGTGGCTCTTGTTTAGTTTAACTAGTTAAATCTCTCTTTTATCAGTATAAATTGAACCTGCTGATCAATGAAATTTGGAAAAAGCAAGGTAAAAATAGCCTAAAGAAATAATGGGTCACCCAACTTTTTAAAAAGGTATGAATTACCTCCATGCTTACATTAAAACTATCACACTTTTCACAAAAATAGAATGCTTCTTAGAACCTTGAACAATGCATTTTAATTATGACAAAATATATGTAACCTTTTGTGGATTAAAATATATGATTAATCTGCTGAGTTCTCTCTAATTGAACAATAATTTGGATCATACAGAGATTTGAACTGCTCTGTAAACTGGCATAAAGCCCAATGCATGTAATACTTTTTAATCTCTTTTCCTAGTTTCTTATAACATATGGATATGGTCCTACAGTCTCTGTGAAATCACTCCAAACTCCATCTGTTAAGGACTTTGTGAAAATTTTCAGTTTTATTTATGAACTCTTTTGCCCTTCATATGAGCTTCCGGGTTCTAAATTTGAAGAAGAAATCCCAAGAATTTTTAAAGAGCTTGGGTAAGTACAACCCCCCCCATATTCATTTCAGTAATTAAAAAGAATCAGTACAACTAAGAATATTTGGTAGATAATACATTTCTTGATCATATATTAGGAAATTACCATTTTCCAGAGTTTATCTAAGTTCTTAATTATATTTCATCTTAATTTAGTAACCTTTAAACAATATAGTAATTTTTACAAGTAGTCAAACTATTTGTGTTACAGATAGTCTTCATTTAGCAACCACAAATGGGACAGGCAAATTAGTTGTTAAGCAAAGCAGTTGCTTAGTGGAAAATCATGTGACTGCGATTGTGCTTATGATTTCATCTTTCCTTTGCTTTACAGCATCAGAAGAATATGACCCCAAACAGCCGGGTGAGCACAAATAGTGGGGAAGATTTCCGGCACTTGATTCACAAGAAAGTCGGATAAAAGGGCAAATATAGCCCTTTTCCCCCACTCCCCTGCCCTTTGGAATGCTCACCCTGGTGCTGGGTTAATTAGCAAGAACAGTATTGATTTTTGTATTTACATTCATTGGAGCGGAAGGGATTACAAGAGAGTAAACAGACACACAATGGGGAATACACATTAAAAGGACTGTGCTAGCGCCAGCTGTTTGCCTAGCTCGTTCCCAGCTCCGAGCCCAGAGCTGCTTAGGAAGCAAACAGAAGCCAAAGATTTGAAACTGATTAAAGTCTTGTCAGACATAGGCAACAGTTGTGAGCTGACTAATTAAGATCACAGAGCTGAGCTTGTTAATTTGCTGTTAGCACTTTTTAGGGAAGCACTGCAGAGAAAAGCAGCTCAGGAATAAATCACTTCTTTAGGCAATTTCTCCACTATGTGGGAGGGAGTAAGAAAAAAATGGGTCAGGTACAGGACAATGTGTACTAACTGCATATAATGGCGAACGTGTGACAGACACTGCGAAGGTCATAAATGCGGGCACTGGTCGCAAAGTTACTTTTCCATCACTGTGGTAACTTTGAACAGTCGCTGCCCAGAAATTTGTTACCAAGAAAACTACATGGATATTCCTGAAGTCACCAGGAATTTAGCTCAATTTGAAGGGGGACATCTTTATACAGCAAATATAACCATATATATAGGTCCTCTCTATGAAATGTTCCTGACTTCAATATAATATTGACAATTGAATTTGCAAGCTATTCATATTATTTTATGCTGGCATGACTGTGTAGCCATATCTTAGATATATGTAAGATTCTTATATATATTTTAATTAATATTTTGATGGAAACTAAAAATAAGTACAGTTGCTTTTTGTGTCTGAGTGTACCTTAAATTGTATGTAACATTTTCTTGAAAAATTAAAATATTTTATAGAAAACTTGCATTTTTCTTACAGGTATCCGTTTGCTTTGTCGAAAAGCTCTATGTATACTGTGGGAGCTCCTCATACATGGCCTCAGATTGCAGCAGCTCTGGTCTGGCTGACAGATTGTTACAAGGTAGTATAAGTAACTAAATATATCTCTTGCCAATTTTATAGGTATTTGCTGTCATTTCATCTAATCAAAATTAGACGAATTGCCTATAAATACGGAAATGGATATACTGCAGATATTTCACTGTGTTAGTGAAATGTTTGATGTTCTTGTGATTTTGACAGATTCTTTGTAGTTTATAATGTATTGTTAGAGCTACTGTTGCACTTTCATTGCCATATCCAATTTGATCAATCAGATAATTACAACAAATTTTTTGCCAGCAAGTTTTGGACAATGGGCCACATTTGAATTACATGCCAGGAATTGCACCAAAAAGTGAGTGAGTCCAGGACAAAATAAATTTCGTTAAAAATTAATATTTTTTCTGTTAATATAACTCCTAATGGATTTAATAATGTTCGCCTTCTAACTGGCAACAGTGTTTAGATGAACTGGGTAGGGAATCACAAATTGTATTCTGATTTATTCAGGAAAAGGAAATAGCAAGCATGATATACTATTACTATCTATGAAATATGATTATTCCGTGTGAATATGTCATTGTGTCTTATTCAGTTGTATATTTCTATGAAAGAAAACCCACAATCATTTGATGAAGGACAGATTTTGGGAGAGACTGAAGATGGAATTCTGCATAACAAGGTATTTTAGCCATTTCTCCCTAATGTCTGTTGTATATTAAAGGTAATCATTTTTACTGGCTGCCTTGATCCAAGAATGTGAAACCTTTTCTTAGTAGAGAGAGAAAGCAAACATAATCTGTAATACAATACTACTTAGCATATTTTGAAAAATCCCTAAAATTGAACTGATTTTATAATTATGTCCTCAGCTCTTTTTAGATTACACTGTAAAATGTTATGACCATTTCATGAGGGGTGGAGACACTTTTGAAGAATTTGATGCTGAAATACACTCCAAATTAAGTGAGTAATTTACATGGTGAAATGTAAAAAATAGGTATTACTATTAATCTTATAAATCTTTTACCACTTGCTTTCTATAATTTCTTCAAACTGTTTTTTAAATTTCCACACCTAGTTACTGATGTAGAATTTTTCTGTTATGATTCTATTAATGATAGTATAAAAATAGTTGTATTGCCTCCTCCCCCCACCAAATTATCTCACTTAATCTAAGGATATGAGGTGAAGTAAGTTTCTGTACTATTTCTCAAGATACTTAGATTGGTTGCCAGAGCTTATGTGGCTACAAAAAGTAATTTTATGTTTAACTCTGCATGATTGCTATCCACTATACCTTTTAGGGTATTTTTACCAACTAGTAAAACCATTTTAGTTGTACAGTACCAAATAGTACAGTATATTTTATTATATAAATAATAGACATTTGGTATCTGGTCTGTTGTGCTCTGTAAACCTTTTCTCACTGGCTTAAGCTAACTTCTAGGTCAAACCTGGGCACACAGATCATAAATCCTTTGGTCTTTAATATGAATATTCAGCAATGAGATATAAATCCAGAGCCATACTGTTACTGAACTAATATATGCAGATTATACTATTTAGGATTTTGATTAAGCAGTATTTTTTATGTCTCTTGAATAATAAAATATCTAAAAGTATTTAGTAGAATGGTGGCTAGGGTTATGGACTAGGACTGGGTTCAAGTCCACCCTCCATCCTGAAAATTCAATAGGTTACTTTGAGCCAATTGATCTCTCAGCCCAACCTTTCCTATGAGTAGTTGTAGGTAAAGCTGTTGAAGGTAGTGCCATGTATGCTGCCTTGAGTTCCTGGACACAAGATGGGATATAAATCTAATAAATAAAAATAATAAAAGAGCTGGTCTAGTGGTACATAATAGAGCTACACTGATGCAACTAAAAATATGGATCTGATTGATATTTAGGTGGAAGAACACCAAGGAAGCTCATTTGTTCAGTTCTTCAATTTTATGATAGAAGAAAAAAAAATACACTGAAATGGAAATTGTTGATTGGAAGATTCAGTGTATTTGATACATTTAACATGCATTCATTTTAAAAAGCTTCAAAGTATTCCATATCACCAGAAAAATAGTTTTCTGTTGAAGCAGCTTGATAGTGTTATAGGTAGTCCTCGGGTTACAACCACTCATCAGCGACCCTTCAAAGTTATGATGCTGCTGAATGAGGGGGACATGATCCCACAGTCATATCACAATTAGGGTGCTTGGCAACCAGCTTGTAATTACGATGGTTGCAGCATCCCACAGTCACATGATCACCATTTGCGACCTTCCCTACTGGCTTCCCACAAGCAAAGTCAATGGGGAAGCCAGCAGGAGGTCACAAGTCACTCCCACCACTTTTTCTCCCGAGGACCTCCAGGGCAGCATGGGAATCTTGTACTCCATAGTACTCTTGTACTCTTGCCCACTGGCCTGCTTGCCTTGGACTCCTGCCTGTCACAGTCATGTGAGGTTCTCGCTTAACAATGGCAACGGGGACTGCTAAGATTGCCATCACTAAGTGATACAGTTATGTGATGTTGTGCTTTATGACTACATTGCTTAGCAATGGAAATTCCAATCACAATCGTAACCTGAGGACTATCTGCATGCAGATAATGAAATTATGACAATAGCTTTTAGGAAATGGTTTAAGTCTGATATTTAGTAAAGCAAAATGTCACCTTGTTTCCCAGTGTATACTTTTTGTCCTAGATTCCCTATTCAGATTTATAAGTAAAGTTATAGAAGACTTGAGTGATTAGAGGGTTATTTTTATCTTCATTCTTTCAGGAGATCTGTTTAAGGTACATGAAAATCGTTTAGAGGTGTTAGAAGAAGAAGAAAAAAGGCTGAATGAAGAGATTGCAAGGCGTGAAAAAGAAAGAGAAAGTGAACCAGTGAGTAACTCTGTATGGCTCTGGGAAGATGTTTTTATAAATTTGATGTTGGTTTTTAGTTAACGCACTGCAATTTGCCTCTTTTTCTATGAAAAAGGACCGTTTACAGCATCTGCGGAGACTGAAATCATCTTTACAGACAGATGTTAAGAAATATGAGGCTTATATGGCCAATCTGGAATCTCACTCATGTGGTATCAGTCAAAAGTCAAAGAGTATTACAGAGGAGCATGAATCTGCTGGTAAGGAGAAACTGCTGAACATCACTAACTTATTTTATAGTTTGTTTCATTCAATCTATTAATTTTAAAAGAAAATACTAATTGGGCGGTTCTCAGCTCAAGGGAAAGATCTAAATAGAAGTACAGAATTTCTTTTTGAACTATTTATGGAGGTAGTTAGAGCCAAGTTAGTAAGAAATCATTAAAACTTATTTAGTACAGTGGTACCTCGGGATACGAACGCCTCTACTAATGAACATTTCGGGTTACGACCAG